AAATAAAATGTTAATAAATGTTACTAAAATGTTATGATTTTAGAAATGTCTCTGTTGTTCAGCTCTGAAATTATATTAAAACAATTATTCTCCTCAGCTTCGGTGAGTATTGTCGAATAACCCCATCGACTTCGTCTCGGGGATTATTCGACGATATTCACCTCGCCTTCGGCGAATAATTGTTAACTGAAAATCATGTGTGAACTGCAGTTTAGAAATTAATATAAGAGCGATTTTCGCTTTCATATTCATCTGAAACTTAAATACGCACATATTTTATAATTCAGGAGCCTATTCTTAGCTGGCTTGGTTAATCTCTCGTACCTTTATTCCTGTGGTTTCGAGACGCTTTGCATACCGAATCACGTTTCCCACAGTGTCTTTGTCAACCATCACTACCAAGAACTTACGTACGCCGGGTCTCTCTCCTTTGTATCCGGGTTTGAAAAGCTCTGCAGCCTTCTCGAGCGCTTTCTCCAAGTTCGGCGGTCCACGAATTCTTGCAATATTTTCCAGATCACCCTTGAGTTGGTCAGGGCTGTTAAATGCATCACCAAATCGAATTTGTACAACGGGTTCGTTACCGAACACCATGAATGCGTAATGCACTGTGTACATGCCATAGTCATCCACGATGAGTTTGATGACGTCAAGCATGTAGTCGTATAATTCGTTGGCTTTGGAGCTGGTTGCGGAGATGGCGAAGGCAATGTCGATTGGGTAACTGATGACCACTGCAAAAGAAAGAACAAAAGTTATAACTGCTTTATTGAAAAACTTCCTCCGTACACTAATTAGCACATCAACAACATCATGGGCGATCATTCGTGGGGAATTAATCGCTACCCAGGTGTCCATTTCCAAGTATGGCAAACCAACCTAACCAAGAAGTTAACCGTCCTTATCACAATATATTTCAGCCTCGTTCAGGTTTTTATACGCAAGAGAACTAATTTCTTACGAGTGGAATAAGATATAACCTGCACAAATAAAGAATCGTTCACCTAGTTAAGGATAAGTACCATCTTCTACCTACGTACCCTTCAACGGACAAATTTTTTCAGAAATCAGCGGCGCCACAGACATGAGTTCACTAAAGGAAGGTGCATAAAAGGCGTAGTCATCTTTGGATGCGACTCTCTTGACTCTAGAATCATCCATGCCACTCCCCACTCCTACAGAGTACACTATTGCGTCATGTGCTTTCAAGGTCCCGGATCTTTGCAGCAGTAAATTCATGTTGTTTTCCATTTGATCCATGATCACAACCACGGCCTATAAACGTAGAAGAAAGGATCAGGGTTTACATGGTTTGCATCAAAGACATTTGAAAAAGTGAACTGGTCTGTTCCAGCGGTTCGTCATCTGAGCACAATCTTTTTTGTTTAAGTCGACGGAATGTTAAAAATGAGTCGAAAAAACACAGCAATTATGGCCAGTGAATTAATGCTCGCATTCAAAGGAACTCGATCATACAAAGATAATAGTAATAATAATAATAATAATAATTATAATGATGATGATAATAATAATGATAACAAAAACGACCTACATATAAAAATCGCGAAAGCAACTACTAGTTTGTATTGAAAGAATTGAAAAAAAACGTGCATCGAAATTATCCTTATAAAAGTAAATTACTTGGAAAAAGTATATGAGAAGGGAAATAACACTCTTACTGTAAAAAACTGTAAAAACAAATTTTAAAAATGTCTAGCGTATATTTGCCATAGCATTGTCAATTAAAAAATCTGTATCGAATGTCTCAAATGTTCTTCTCTTCTTTCTTGTACCTCTTAAGCATAAGAGGGCGCATCGTAAGAGCGCAAAAGAGATTTTGGCTCTAATCCAGGACATAGTGGTAGAGTATGTTTCACATTTCGTAATGGATATGAGTTCAGCTAAGCGTTTATGGTAAACTTTGCATTCAGTACCCATCCCTCCGGTGGTACTTAAGATCAGGGGCGTAAAGGATCCTTGCTCTATTTCCAATACTCTACTGGCATACTTTCATTTCTTCTCATTTTCGTGCTTTTTAAAGACTTGCACAGATGTCTTCTCACGATAGGAGTCAGCATAAGGGTGGAATACCCGGACACCAAAGTATGCAGACTTCTGTCGCTCCCAGAAACCTCTGGCTAGAATATCAAGACGAGCATGATGAAATGCGCCCTACAAGAAGAAAAATTAAAGTTGAAACATCTGACCTGTTTCACGTCGGTTCTCTTGTCTTTTATCACTTCCAAGGCTTCCCGTAAACCAAAAGTAACGCTCGGGGATGAACCCAGATCACGGATGCTATCGATGTTGAGTTTGACCACGTCTGCGCTTAGCGAATCATTGAATGATATGAGGTCCACTTCTACTCTATCTGATGGCACCACTCCAACTCGTGTATCGTCAGGACCGATGTTAAATTTATCAATGACTGCCTTTATGTAGTTCTTCTTGATCTCTAGGTTGCCTCCATCCAGGACAAATAGCAAGTCGACACGGTTGCTACAAGCTATTACGAGGAAAACAACAAAAACATTACAGAAATAAATGAAGACGTTTAAGTGTAGTGAACCGTGAGAAAATGAACAGGATGATCCAAAGATCAAAACAAGCCCCACTACAGTGGATGCCCTGGATAAATATAAGAAAGTCTAAAACCAGACAAATGCATTTATACCTTATACGACAGAGCTAAACGATCAGTAACAGTAAGTTGTAAGTGTGTTTTCTACAACTCAAGTGCTTTCTAATAATCTACTCATAAAAAAATAACAAGGAGCGCATAAAAACTCAAAACAAAAACAAAAAAAGCAAATCGCCTGAAAACACAGGTGAACAAGCTGCGATTGGTCTAAATTTTGCTTCTGATTGGTCGTAAAAGAGGCGCCACTTTTCTGGCCTTATCTTATCAAAAAACGAAGTTGGGCAAAACCAAAGCGATCCCGGTTTAATGATAATGATAAGAAATTTATATAGCGCTAAAACTATATACAATATTCAGAAGCGATTTACATAAGTTAAAGTTCTATACTAATTAAAATCAAAATATTCAAAGGCAATAAACATTAGAACTATTGAAACAAACTAAAAGCTTTCCTATATAAAAATGTTTTAAGTTGCTTTTTAAAAATGGCGAGACTACTATTTGTTCTTGTAGTTAATGGCAGCTAGTTCTGTAAAACAGTTGCAGCATGAGCAAAGGCCCAATCCCCAAGTGAAGAGCATAATTAGTGGCTGGTTTTAGGGACAAAATATTTTTAATGTAGGGAGGAATTTGGTTGCGTAATGACTTGTAAACAAGGAGGAGCAATTTAAACTGAACTCTGAACGTCATTGGGAGCCCATGTAGGTCGATAATTGCGGGTGTGATATGATCAAATTTCGTAATCTGAAAAATCACTCTAGCCACAGCATTCTAAACTTTCTGTAAACGATCGAGTTGATATTTAGGTAGACCTAAGAAAAGTGCGCTACAGTAATCAAGGTGTGAGGATACAAAGTCGTGGACTAGTGTCTTGGTCGATTGAACGGTAAGGAATTTTCTGATCTGTCTTATGTTGTAAAATCCGAGAAAAGCCTTGCTACAAATCTTGCCTATATGAACATTCATTCGCATATAGCATCGACATTCGATTGAAAATTGCTCCTAGTGGTAAATATACTTAATTAAACAGCTTTTAATACCTTCACAGACGCCTTCCTTTACGACCGTGAGCATCGTCTGCGTTCTGCAGGCTTCGAGAATCATACTGCAGTTGTTGGGGTACGTGCGTTCATCACTGGCGCATACGGGACTGTAAATCTGTGGGCAATCATTACGGCACTCACACTCGGTCGAGCCATTTGATGACTTAACACATTTGGCGTCAAAATCACACGTGGTAACCAGACATGGATCAGAAAGAGCTACAACAAAAAACAATTCGATTACTGGATTAGCCAGAGTTAGGAAAAACGCACTCGACTCATGGCGAGAGGCCGGTTTTAGGTCCTCTTTCACCACGATATGGCTAACAGCGACACAATATTGCACTGTCTGTAGCTTTTCCTTCGTAAACGCACTCGCCTCATGGCGAGAGGCCGGTTTTAGGTCCTTTTTCACCACGATATGCCTAACAGCGACACAATATTGCACTGTCTGTAGCTTTTCCTTGGTAAAACTGCGGGCTTCTTTAATTTCTCCTCCTCCACAGCAGCGTTTTTGATCCTTCCTCGTTTAGCCACCAATTACTTTATTGTCTCACTGGATCGAGATGCAGTGAAACACGACAGGTACCTTTTTTTTTCTTCAGACCTCAACATAACGTGCTTTTTGAATGAATGTTGTAAAAAAAAAACATAAAATAATCACAACAGTCAACCAGTAGAGGCACATCCACAACATTCTGATGGGAGCTGGGGGACGGGGGCGGGGTCAAAACTGTTATTCTAAAAATACATGAAATTTCTCACAACAAAGCCTAAATAAGCAAAGTACTACATTAGAAAAGTAGATTTTAAAAACTTCATATGGAGTCATTGCATGAATTTTGTTGTCAGACATGTAGTAAAACCTACAGTTCTGTTTCGAGTTACGAGAGGACACCAAATGGCGCAAAGGAGACCTAAAACTATGTACAAACTCAATCGTAATGTTTACCCAAAGTTATCAGCACCATAATCTTCTTTCCAACTGTTGACGGGACGCCATCCTTGTCCGTATACACTATGTTTGTCTTGTCCTTGTCTGGAGTCAGCGGTACAAGCTCATTTGGATCAGAGTTCTTTCCAATCACCACAGTGACGAACCTGACCTTTCCGTCTTCCAAATCACCCACAATCTTTTCGATGTTACTTCCGGTGTTGACAGACTTCCGGTCGATCATAACTACGATAACCTTTCTGGAATCTGGTCGCGCGCCTCCACTTGGTTGGAAAAACAGAGATGTAGCGTCTTTGAGAGCGTTTACCAGATCAGGTGAACCCCTGGGTAACCTGGCGCCTTGTATTAGGGTTAATAAAGAATCTTTATCAGTCTTTTGGAATGGAAAGACTCTGTTGGCCCTTTGACCAAAGATGGTCAAACTGTATAAGTGTTTTTTGACGCCATGTCGTTCGATTATAGAGTCGATCGTGGATTTGACGAGTTTCAAATTTTCCTCGGCATCCACGGATGTTGTGCTGACTAAAAATGAAATGTCCAGTCTGGTAAACTCGGTGATACCTGCAAGAAAACAAAAGAACATTCGAAGGGATATTTAGAGCTAAAAAATTAACGTAAATCCGGAAGGGGGACCCTTTTGAGAGTAGCTACAAGGAGATAAAAAGACACCGTAAGCGCCTCAAGGAAAATTCAATTTTATTACAAAAACCCTAAGGTAATCCCCTGGGCATTTGAACATTGGTTTGTTTAAATGCCCCCCCCCCCCCGAGGTTTCTACGGAGGCTTTCTATGATGGCCGACTTACACTATCAACTCAGTTGATAAAACAAAATTGTCTCACAATTTCCACACCAACGCAGCCCCTGGTATAGTTTCTTAACTTAACCCCTTTACTTACCACTAACGAGTATCTCCTGTATCTTATCAGCGGTCTTAATGGGATGGTCTTTGTCTTTGGTTTTTATAACTTCCTCATCCGGGAACTCTTTTTCAAAGTCAGGTACAGGCCTGTTACCAATAGCAACCGGGATGACAACTACAGAACTGACCATCAGGTCCTTTGCAGCTTCCTTAATGGCTGGCTTGTTACGACCAGTAATGGTGTCCATGATCACAACAAGAACCTGCAAAGGCGGTAAACAACAGCGATATCACGTTGAGTGAAGGAGAAAAACAAATGTATCATCAATTAAATTCAATTATTTTCTTTTCATTTTTGCACAAAAAGTAAAAGTAAAACAAAAAAATAAATCGGAAAAAAACAACGCTGCTAACCTTTTGTGCATCTTTCCTCGCAAAGTCACTTTCAAACAAAACCTTAGCCTCAAAGAGCGCTTTATCGAGAGCGGGTTCGTCATTGTTAGAGGCGACTGAGTCGATGTAAGTCTGCAAGTTTTTGGGGTCACTATATTTATCTCTGAAATGTAGCTTTATGGAGGCATCTCTACCAAACACAATCAGCCCGTACTGGACACGGTCGCTGAAGAATCTCTCTGTTATTTCCTTTACAATTTCCAGGATCCTTCTAAAATTAATGTCGCTTGGTGAGGCACTGATGGCGAAGACGAGATCCAACTTGGGGAGTTTGGGTGTGACTGGAAATGGAAAAAGAGAAAGGATGTAGAACTAAAACAAAGTCAGGTTAGATGAATTAGAAAAGAAATCAAACTTTTATTTGGGCCGTATCAGTTGAAAATGACTGTTGATTTTGTTTCTAAAAACGTTCTCAAAATCCATTTTGTGATCTGACCCCACACAGTCTGTTTACTAAACGAAGATAAAAAATTGGAATAATTAAGGAATGGTTAGCATGCAACGTGCAACGTGCAGTGTGCAACAATCGAGTTATGGATGAACACGGAAGGTTTCTCAGCACGCGTTAGCCGAGTACAACTCTAACTTCTTGAGTGCTTAGCAAACCTTTAAAGTGTATCCATAACTCGATGGAAACAGGCTGTACGCTGACCATTTCTTTTATAAAATTGAGACTTTCGAACATCTTTCGTTTCGTGTAAAAAAAAGTAAGCAAAACAAACTAACGCCAGCATGCAACCCAACGGGAAATGGATCGAGCGTATTAGCCAATCAGAGCGCGCACTTATGTAAAGCACAAAAACAGACACTATGACACGATATGTAAAACAAAGCCAACGTCATTTTTCAATTTTTAAAGTATTTCAAACGAGTCTGATATGCGATGGAGTTAAAAGAATTAATTTCAAATGATTGTCGTTCACCATAGCAGCTTTCTAGAGAAAGCTGTGAAAAAAGGAAAAGTTAGGTTACCTTTCAGAACTCTTTTCATCACAGAGTAACCAAGGTCGGTTGGGTTGACATCACTGCGCACGACAACGAGCACGTCTTTATACGGTGAAATATTCTTGATTTCTTTAGCATCAATGGCACCGCCAAAAGCAACGGGGACGATCTTAACATTAGCGTACTCCAGCTCTAGTGCCTCGTTCCCAGTTTCCTTGCTATCTCCAATGGGTGATTTATCTGCAATCACTACCAGTACCTTTTTAGCATCTTTCCGACCACGAGACTGGAACAACTCCCTGGCCTTCTGTAAAGCCTTCCCCAAAGCTGGGCCTCCTTGCTCAATCTGCATGTTGTCAACAGCACTCAGCCAATTCTCAAGAGCAGGGAAATTCCTCTCGAAGCTGAGAAGTACTCTCGCATCGGAGCCATAGACAATAACGGCGTAACGCAGGTTTCCAACACTATACCTCTTAATTATAGATTTCACAGTTTCTTTCATCTTGGCGAACGTTTCTCTTGAATTTAAGGCTGTCGCGCTTAAAGCAAAGCCAAGGTCGATCTTCTCTGTAACGACAGATTCTGGAAAAGAAATATCATGAAACAAACAACTTTTGAGAGGACGATTGAGATAAGTTAACATCAGAGGTACGTAAGAGATTTAATAGGCTATCTTAACCACACGATGGATAGCATTTCCCCCTGGTACTAAAACATTGCCTTGTTTCGCAGAAGATACGGAGTTTTAACCTTTGCTAAACTAGAGAATGCCCCTTAAGCCAGAGAGAAACCTCTCTTTCTTGTCATAAATCGGTTTGTTCCAATACATTCTTTTCTCTTTCTCTTTCTGTTTAATATCAACCTACTCCTTGTTACTTAATGGAGTAATAACCAAACAAAAATATACAGAATTCAAAAGAACAATCGAGCAACTGTGATGTTTTTCCGCATTATCAAGGTTGTAAGACAAAGAAAGAATTCTAATTCCCATTAGATCTTCGGATCCCATACTCCCACGCTCCTACGCTCCACCACTGAGCCACAAAGACAAGGCTCATATTCATTCAAAACTGTAACAGAACTTGAAATTGGAACATACCATTTAAGACTACAATCACTAACTCCTTCACTATGACCGTGGGACGTTGTTCTTCGTCCGGCTTGATGACTTCTGGCGAGACCGGATCAAACTCATTGCCAAGTACGATGGCAATCACGCGGACACCATCATCCCTCAGCTTCCGAGAGGCGGCTCGTACAGATGCTTCAGTACTGTCAGACTTCTTGTCAGTGATGACCACTACAACCCTCTTGGCATTGGGTCTAGTATCCTCAGCTAAAGCGAAGAGATATCGAGTCTCTTCCAGGGCTTTTTCGAGAGAAGCGGCACCCTCATCTTTCTTGACGTTGTCAACAATCTTGCCAAGTTCTTCCTCACTGGCGAAGACGTTGTTGAATCTTATTTTTACCACAGGTGTGGCACCAAATGTAATGAGACTGTACCGGACTCGAGACAGACCGAAGGCTTCTACGGTTTTCTTGATGATTTCCTTAGTTGCATCGAGATTTTTGTCTTTATCCACAGCTGTCGTGCTGATGACAAAAGCAAGGTCCATTTCCGGGACGAAAAGTGTTTCTGATGGGTGAAAACGGAAACGAAAAAGTCGATCAACAATAGGTTGCAAAAGACTAAGCTAGTGCAACAGTCTAAAAATTGAACATCCCAAGGTGAACGTTCAAAGGGTAAAGAAAATGGATGAGAAAGACCACGGAACGACAAAGAGAGATAGAGAGAGGGCAGTAAGGCACACTGACGGACAGACATACATACTTATAAATAACAGACAGATATACTGGCTGACTCAAGACAGACATACAGACAGGGCGACAGACGAACAGATGGAGGAAAAAAGATGGCATAGAGACAGACAGACAGACATACAGACAGGGCGACAGACAAACAGATGGAGGAACAAAGATGGCATAGAGACAGACAGACATACAGACAGACAGGGCGACAGACGAACGGATGGAGGAACAAAGGTGGCATAGAGACAGACAGACAGACATAGAGACAAGGCGACAGACGAGCAGATGGAGGAAAAAAGATGGCATAGAGACAGACAGACAGACATACAGAC